GAGTGCGGCCACCCGCCAACGTGTAAACACATTCCATCAAGTCAGCCAAAGGCTTGACCACCACATTGTAGCGTGGTATGGACATGCGCATCCAGTTCATCGCGCAGATTAATTGCTGGAGGTCTTGGCCGGTCACTGGCACCTTCAAATCTTGTAGCGCCTTGATGCGCTCGGGGGGTCGTGCTTTACCCCTTCGCCAGGCACGACACGCCCACACCAAAGTGCTTCGGTTTGATAGAACCGACACTTCGTTGGGTTCAGCTTGAGCCCACGGAACTCGCAAATCTTAAGTACGCGCTCCAACACGGCCAGTAAACCGTCCTTGTTCTTGCTGTAGCCGAGTAAATCGTCTAGCCAGATGAGCAGATAGCGGTATAGCTCGTCCGCAAACATCTCTTGCACAGATGACTGGCAAAACGCTGTCCGTGCTGCCCATCAACACTCGGGTTGGCGTGTAAACGCCGATGTCCGTAAGGAACGAGAACATCTCCTGCGAGTCAGGATGCAGCGCAAACTGCCAATAGCCCTTGAAAAAGTCCAAGGTGAAAAAGACTTTGGCACCACAGAGGTGGTCGAGGATCACCTCTAGCATTGGCATCGGCCAGAGGATCCGCTCCGTCTGAGCGTTGACTGGACGAACGTCCACTGTCATGCAAAATTCGTTCGATTCGGGTTTTTCACGATAAGCGGTGCCGAGCACCACTTCGACCGCGGATTGCGATAGCATAACCAGCCGCCTGGAGTTGTTCCACGTGTCTCGCCATGAACTCCCGCTGCTCCTTCGAGTAGCGTCGTGCCTTGCAGCGTACAGGCTTCGTGTCAGCTTTGAGAGTCACACGAAGAGGCTCCACCTTGACCGGCGGATCCCGACCCAGCTTGAGTCGGAACACATCTTCGTATTTGACGAGCAGCCTTCCCAGCTCGACGGCATAGTCATCATCGCATCCTGCAACTCGGCACTCGCCGACCTTCTCTTTGAGCACCGCCGCTTTGTCATCGTCTACTGACCAGTCCACGTCAACTTGTGGAAAGCAAGATAATTCTTCATCAACGTTTAGCTCCGCTTCTTCCGGCGCTATCGGTGGCTGCTTCTTGTCTTCTAGGACCTTGATTGCCGCCATGAGACACGAATTTTGGTCGCCCAGCTGGCTAAGGTCATAGACGTTTTGAGCACGCCGCGCAGCTTCCAATAAAGCTATGGGAGAGTATCCCAAACTAGCCATCACTGCACGGCTCACGATAATGTCGCCGAGACCGCTGTGCAGAGGCGCTGCGGCCAACCAGCACGTCAGGTTCGTCAGAACCAGACGACCTTCGTCCGTGTCGAACGTCAACTTCAGCTTGATTTCACGGTCGACGGAAAGCTTCATTTCTTCCATGAACCTACCCAGCTCCAGGACAGAATCCAACTTGCACACAGGCGCAAGCAAAGCGCCGGCTTCTTTCAGCCGCGCAAATAATGCAGGCGAAACCACCGATTGATCCGCGCCGCTGTCAAGTAGCGCCAGCGCTTCCATGTCATTCACAGAGCAGCGTACGGTGCGCGGCGCTTGCGGAGCTTCGAGTTTCGGCTTCTTTGAGTCGATCGCCGCGCAAACCACGTTCTTCTTGGCTGCCGGCACGCTGCTTGGAGCGGCTGCCGGCGTGTTCGCCGCAACAAGAGGACGCTTTGCCCGTTGTTCTAACAGACGATGCGCTTCCCCCGGCGCACACTTGGGACATTGCACGACCTTGTGGTCGTCACTGCCACACTTCAGACAGCCTTTTGTAAGCAGCACTTGCTTTGCGGGCACCACGCCTTTCGCTTGGCCATCAGGCTTCCGCTGTTGCGGTTGCCGGTATTTCTCGCCGTACTAGCGACGCGGTTTCTCTTCTGCCTTCTTCTCCGCCGTCACCATTTGCGACTCAAACAACATGAAGTTGTCGAGTAACTGAATCAACCAGCGGCCAAACGCAGACACGCTGGTCTTGTAGACCTTGTTTGCTTCCTGAGCGAGCTGCCGCTCTACCGTGGCCTTCAGTGCCGCGGGTTGGATTGCAGCCGTCAAAATCTTGACCGACTGTTTCGGCTCCTGGCTGGGCAGGTGAACCACATCCAGCTGCTCGAGCTTCTCGTAGAAATCGGCCAGCAATCGACCGACGCGGGATTCCGCATCGCGAATCCGCATGTCCATCTTCAAGGGCGCCATAGCCTTGGCAACCCAATCGAGGTCAAGTTCATGAACTTGGGCACTCAGAAAGTAGTCCCGCCATTCGTCTTCAGTGATTTCTTCGATCGGCTTGCCGAAATCATGTTCACAAACACGAGGCACAATCTATTGATCGATGCATGCCGTCAATGGCATGAGGAAGAGGACTCCTCCCACACCACGGTTCAGCGCTTCCACGCGCCGAAAGTACGGATGATACTCATCCATGAACTCCCGGCGCTCACGCTTCGTGCTACCCTTGTACATCGGGGCCAGCGGCACTTGCTGAACACCCATAAGGGTCTCCGAACGGCTCATCACCGCCGGCGCCGCTTGCGCAGGGGGTCGCTCATTGGTTGCAGCGGCAAAGAGTCCCCAGCGCACGTTATTACGGCGTACTTTCTTGTCAAGCTCCTCCACCTTGGAGTGCTGTTGCCTCATTGCTTCATAGGTTTGCTGTAACTACGATTGGTGATCTCCAGTCACCCTGGCTTGCTGAGCCATCGCCAACATGATCTCTTCTTGTTGGCGTCGCAGTTGTTCTTGCTGCTTCGACAATATCGCACGCGATTCTTCTTGTTCGCGGCGGCTATTCTCGATTTCAGACGTAATCACCGCCTGTCGGGCGGATTCTTGTTCCAAGCGCACGGCCATCGAATTCGACGGCATGTGGGACGTGATGCACCTGGATGAGAAATGGTTCAACTCAGACAAAGATGTACGCAAGGTTTACCTTACGAAAGACGAGAGACCCAATCACCGCACCTGCAAGAGTAAGCGCTTCATGCCAAAGGTCATGTTCCTCGCGGCCGTCGCTCGCCCTCGGTTTGACGTCGAGCGTGGGAGAATGTTTGATGGGAAAATTGGAATGTGGCCCATTGTGAAGCACCTCCCCGCCGTGCGCAACTCCCGCAATCGTGCGGCTGGCACTCTTGTGACCACATTGGCGTCGGTCGACGGAGAGCTCTATCGTGACTACGTCATCACACGTGTCATTCCAGCAATCAAGGCTC